TTTAGGTTGCCTCATGTATTTGACATTGGACTTTACTAGAGTCCACCAATTGTTTACTTTAGTTATTTTCAGAAAAGATTTAAAATTCAAACAATTTACTTCTACGTTCAGTCTAATTACTAACTCAGCTTTTATTAAATCAAAGGCCATACATTCATTTTCCGAGAAGCTGTTTGTCTGGAGATTTTGAGTTTTGTCGGGAGTCTGGAGATCATTTGAAATGTCGGGAGAATCCAGACGAATCCCGACCTTTCTGTTACATACGTCATCATCATCATCATCATCTACAGCCCTTCACAAGTCCACTGCTGAACATAAGCCTCCCCCAAGGTATGCCACAAAGCACGGTCCTGAGCCACCTGCACCCATCGACTTCCTGCATGTCTTACCAGGTCGTCACTCCATCTAGTGGGGGGTAGCACTACACTTCGCCTACCGGTACGAGGCTGCCACTCGAGAACCTTTTTTCCCCAACGGTTGTTCGTTCTTACGGCCACTCATACGGCCAGCTTTGAAGGACCACGTCTCGGTTCCCTAGGTTATCACTGGCAACACGCACTTGTAGTATGCATACGTACTTGTAGTAAAAGTTTATTGACCCCAGTCTTAATGCTATATTGTGTACTATTGTTGCAAAAAAAGACGTTTAGTTCATAAACTATTAAAGATTTAAATATATTCGAAAGGACTGTCGCAAAATTACAAATTATAATTATCCTGTGTTGCCAAGTGAATAAAACAACAAAGCAATTGATATTCAAATTGTAAACTCGGGTACATAATAATCTGATTTAATTAATGTGTTTTATGCATACTACTCTGATACTGATTGCTCCATGGCGCAATGGCTTAGCATTGAGTGGCTGCGCTGGGGGCCGCGGATTCGAATCTCGCATTGTACAAGTATTTGTATGACCTACAAATAATTGTTCCGGGTTTGGATGTTTGTTCTTGTGCTACAGCAGCTATGCTATGGTTGCCGCAAGAATTGGTGCACTCGACTGGGGAAAGACCACGCTCTTACGGCTAGCGTAAAATAACAGCTGAATGCTGCGGTTTCATCTTTGTTCTCAAATGTGACAACGCATCTGCATTTTTATTCGTAATGGAGGATAAATGAATGTTTATGGGCCACAGCATCCACGTACCATCAGGTGGATTGTGTGCTATTTTCTCACACATATTCTCAAAAAAATATGTAGGTAAACTGCCAATAACGATACAAAATAAAATCTTAGTTCGTCGGTTCGACAATAAAAAAAATATTATAAAGCTGTCCTCGTGTTTTATAAAGTAAATATTTTGATGAACGATAAATTATTTTTTACGTTGTAGAGCCATGCTGCAGTTATATTAATAGTATAGTTGTAGCACGAATGGGTCGGCTCGACCGGGGAGGAACCACGCTCTCACTGAATACCAGCGTCAAATAGTAGCTTAATGCTGCTGTGTTTCGTATGGTGAGTGTAGAGAACCGGAGACCCTTTTTACTGGAAACGAGGCATTCCACCTAAGTCCTCACGGGTGACAACGCATCTTCACCTATATATACCTTATTATACATAATCTGCATTTTGTTTCGTAATCGAGGATAGATGTAGATGTCTATGGGCCATTATATTATATATATAGAGAGAAGCAACCACTTACCGTCAGGTGGACTGTGTGCTCGTTTGTCACCCTATTCTATAAAAAAATAACTAAAATTAGGGGGCACACTCACTAGATAGTAATGATGTATTATCTTGTCTTTCACTAGTGTACATGCACGCTTTGGTGTAGTTGAAACGATGCGATTTCGGCGTAAAATGTGTTTGTGTTTTGGGTATCGAAAGTGTTAAACGTCCTGTACTGGTTCTTGGAAGTTATGCCAACCCTACACATAATATGTAATTTATCTGATACAGTTTCATTGTTTCAATGCAGTTCAAACGCTTAAAAACTGTTACAATCTTATTTTGAAATTAATATCGGGACTCGTTTCCATTATTCTATGTTATTGTAACTTCTAACAATAATGTTAGCGTGTTATAAAGCCTGACCTACAGTTATGCTCCCATGGTCGCTGCGCCACGTCATGCGATTGACAAAATTTAATGCATACATAAGGCAACACGCATAGCAAACGATCTCCGTGCTGAGTTTTATAAACAAGCTTTTAGTACACGACTCGACCAAAATTTTACGAAGATATTTTTTAAAGAAATGAACCAAAATATTTTGTAGGCACAATAATATATAGCAAAATTTAACATGGCCATCTGTCTTTCAAGAAAAAATCATTTTTTCTATCAAATGATGAGATATTGTAGCCGTAGCTATAAAAAATAAACCTCAAAAGTATTTATTACATTAGTTACCTATATCAATGTTATATTATACTACAAATACTTACTTTTTTCTATTTCATTTATTACATTACAAACATAATTTTTCGTTTTACGACATGCTTTTATCCACGAATAGGTATATTCCTTTTTATTTTGATTTCAAATATTATATCATAGACCTTTTAGCGGATATCTGCAAAGTTTTTCGTTGTTTCTTCTTTAGATAGGGGAACTTCATTTTGAAACAGTACTAGATTAAAAACATGTTGAAGTTTGACAAACCAAAAAAATAATAATTTCTTTCGTCGAAAAATAAAAACTTTTCGTTTCATTTCTATTTGAAATATTTTGCAGAAAAAAATGTATTTTATTTCGGAAAATTTCTTTTTCTTTAGTTTTCTGGAAGCAATATATATATATATATATATATATATATATTATAGAATAGGGTGACAAACGAGCACACAGTCCACCTGATTGTAAGTGGTTGCTGTAGCCCATAGACATCTACATTTTTCCTCGATTACGAATCAAAATGCAGACGCTTTGTCACCCGTGAGGACTAAGATGGAGTGCTTCGTTTCCAGTAAAAAGGATCTCCGGTTCTCTACACTCACCATACGAAACACAGCAGCATTAAGCTACTATTTGACGCTGGTATTCTGTGAGAGCGTGGTCCTTCCCCGGTCGAGCCGACCCATTCGTGCTACAACTATACTACTAATATAACTGCAGCATGACTCTACCACGTAAAGAAATCTTACAATTATATATCATTATAATATAATAAAAAAATAATTTTGTTAAGGACATATTATGACATATTTCTTAAAAAATAATAGGCTAAAAAGACAACCGCGACTTAACTACCAAATACATAAGAGACACCAGTATAAATATTATTACACGATAACACCTACCCATCATCGGGTAGTGGTGTTTTGACTTCTGACACGGTTTAGTTATTCAAATATACGCGGTAGAGCCACGCTGTAGCTATATTATGGTTGTAGCTCGTCCGGGGAAGACCACGCTTTCACAGAATACCAGCATAAAATAGCAGCTTAATGCTGCTGTGTTTCGTATGGTAAGTGTAGAGATCCGGAGACCCTTTTACTGGAAGCGAGGCATTCTTAATCGAGGATAGATGTAGATGTCTATGGGCCACAGCATCCACTTACCATCAGGTGGACTGTGTGCTCGTTTGTTATCCTATTCTAATGAAAAAAAATCAACTTCATAAGATAGTTTTATTTAGCAATATATTTAACTTTATTGCTTATCCCATAATCACGTTTTAATACAATAAAAAGTAACTACTTAAGACCTTAGACGAGAAAAAAGTTTCATTATCATCATCATCTCAGCCCTTCACAAGTCCACTGCTATACCACAGAACACACAATATTACTACATAGCTGAACATAATGACGACAATGTAAGACATGCAGGAAGTCGATGGATGCAAGTGGTTCAGAAGAAAGTTTAGGTGTGTGATGCAACATATAATGATGTGGTTCCATTCATCCATTATAATCAATAAAAGTTCATCACTAAATATACTCTCCATAATATTAATTTATAGGACATTTATATTATAAAGGGATATTTACCATAGTTGCTATGATTGGGCGGCGGTTTATATCAACAGCACTTGTCTACTATTTCAAGATATTATCAGAAAGACGCAGCTGGCCATCTCCTGTCTCATATTAGTATTTTTCTCTGCCGTCACTGGCGACATCCACGTGATGATATACAGTATGTAACTTAATTAACGCACACCCTCAGACACCCCAATTAGTATATTATGTAATAATCATAATACATACACTGAATTTTTAATTAAACATTTTTATGCACCGATTATTTATCAAATTAGTTATACTAATTCCGGAAGAATGTTGTGGTCACAGTACAAATCCACGAACGCAAAGACTTTAATGTGCTTGAAATAAAGTTCATTTTTCGTTATTTTTATTCAATGACAGAATTAGTAATAATACAAATAAAACTGCACTCTTAAAAGTCTTATTGCCTCAAGTTACGGTCCATTTCAGTTTGTTTTGACTGTACAGATTTAGTGTGACTGTAATTTAAGTAGTTTTAATTATTTTTGGGATAAAAAATTACCTATATTATAAATGATAGGAATCGATTCAGTAAACGATTTTGAACAAACTACTTTCTCAAAGTGCGTTAGTTATGTTACGTGTTGTTTAAGGCGATAGATTCTCTTGATAGACCACAACTACACGGCGATTGTATGTTTCTATATTGGACTGTAAAAGTAAAAGTTACAGCCTATATACGTCCCACTGCTGGGCACGGGCCTCCTCTCATTTCTGAGAGGATTTTAGGGCAAGGAAGTGTCCGCTGCGCTGCCCCAATGCGTGTTGGCGAACATCACATGTCTTCGAAATATTTTATTTTTATTTCTCAGACATGCAGGTTTCCCCTCCCTCACGATGTTTTCCTTCACCGCCGAGCACGTGGTAAATCAGCACTTAAAATTGTAATAACAATTTCATTGGTGCCGGAGGGGATTGAACCCGAGTTGCTCGCGTACTAAGAAATTTACAGCGAGCGCTAACCATCTGAGCTACCATGGCGCTTGGACTGTAAACGTCTAATTAAATTATTTATAAACTAATAATTTGTTGACTTTAGGGCGCTTAAGCGAATGGAAGGAGAGGATGTTTTCGGACGAAAGATCAGCACGCGGTACGCTCGTGGCGCTTTCCAAGCGACATACTCCAGTGACGAAGGATACAGCACTGCACCCACGCAACCCTCTCACCCACCACTACTCTCTTCAGTTCAGCAAATGCATCAGGTTAGTGCGTCTTCAAATTTTGACATGTATTGACAATGGTAACATTTCATGATTTGGTAATAAGTATATTTTTTTAACTAAATACAGCAAATATTTAGTGATAAACATGAATGTATTGTATGAATATCATTTATTAGAATAATATTGCATGCTTTAAGCGCAAAGCGCGTAGGTCTGTTCTACTAGCACCTAAAAATCAGGAATCCAGCATGGAAGGGTAAACACGATAACTTTTGAAAATATCAATTGTAATTAATAGAATCAGGCGTTACGTACCGGAAATCCATTATATTAAAGATGTTAATATTTACTTCGCAACCATCCGCTCAATAAAATATAATGATGTCTCTTACCTAGTATGAGGAGCACCTCCCGCCCTCCCTCAATTACATGCACTAGTCCCGTCACCACTAATCCCAGCACCACTACTCCCAACACAACTAACTACTCTAGGAAAGACACGCCTTCGACGATAATACGACACGTGTTTTGTCTCTACACGAGGCATCCTCAGGTGATGTAGACTCTGCGATGGCTGACCGCTAAGATAGTCCAGTTTAGTGCACGCAATTGAGGGAAGCGGAAGGTGCTCTTCATACTAGGTAAGACACATCATTTTTTATTTTATTGAGCGAATGGTTGCATAGTAACTATTAACATCTTCAATATCAATAGCTCAATTACAATTTTTTTAATCTCTTCATATGTTATGTGGGAAGCCATGGAATGTAAATGGCAGTTTAGTTTTGTTTTGTTTAGTTATAATTTTTTTTTCGGTTAAGTAAATCGTGTTGTGTTTCGAACAGCCTTGTTTTATTATATTTTACTAAATACACTTTGAGTCTTTGACTCACTCCGGCATCGGCTACCGTCGTCAATGGATTATTGTATCGTTTGTTTACAGCGGCTCGTGATGAAAAATATCTATCGCTGTAGAAATACAAAATATTCCTAAAACCAAATTTTATAAATACTTGACCAATGTATGATATTATTGTTATTTTTATAATCACAGATTTTTATCACAATCTATTCTTTTGATAAAAGTACGTGGTAGAGCCATGCTGCAGTTATATTAGTAGTATAGTTGTAGCACGAATGGGTTGGCTCGACCGGGGGAAGGACCACGCTCTCACAGAATACCAGCATATAATAGTAGCGTAATGCTGCTGTGTTTCGTATGGTGATTGTAGAGAACCGGAGACCCTTTTTACTGAAGACGAGGCATTCCATCTTAGTCCTCACGGATGACAACACATCTGCATTTTGATTCGTAATCCAGGATAGATGTAGATGTCTATGGGCCGCAGCAACCACTTACCATCTTGTGCTCGTTTGTTACCCCATCCTATAAAAAAAGGATTTATATATAAATATACTTATACGTCTTACTTGTACTTATCTGCTACTGGAAATCCTCAACGAGTGGACTGGGTGTGCCGAGATTGTGCTCGTTATGTTAGTAATGATGAGACCTTACATACCACAAAAGTAATAAAATAAATAAAAGACTAGAAATAATGATTTTATTTGTTTGATAATCAAATGAGTTTTATAAAATAATAAATAGCTTTATTTCCTTCCCTGAATTCTCTGCTATTAAACTTAACCCCATTGATACTTGTAATCTAGGGCACAGAATTATTAGGCTTAGAACCGCAACAGGCGCACGCAAAGTGAAGCCGTTTCAAGTTAGCCTTTTGTGGCTAAGTACGACTTTCAGCGTGTCAGTACTCGAGTCCACGTAGTCGTAAAAAGCTCGCGCCATTTTGCAAAAAAACAACTTACTTTGCTTTAAAAGGGTGTCACAACTCATCACATAATCATGAAAAAAATCTAAAAATCTCATTTCAATGGTAATTACTGCCTAGCATCTTATATTTTTATAAAAAACATTCATCAAAACATAATAATAAATTTTAAATTTGACAGACGCCAATATAATGAAAATGTTGCTTAGGCATAGTAAAATATTTTACCCCATATTTTCTTATTATTATAATTACATACTGCCAATATGGGACTATTATTGTTGTATTTTTATTTGACAAATAAAAATACCTACAATATTCACGCATGAGTAGGTATTTTTAATTGCCAAATACTATTATAGAGTTCCCACTTGCCAAGAAAAAAATGTGTTGATTTTATTTTTTGTTAATGTGCAGTTATTTTTATCTTTTTTTATAGTATGTGTTTTAGTATAAATACCCTATGAACATTTTTTTAAATTCTAGTAATGATTTACATACCTTCGCCATTTCCTAAAAAGACGATACGTTTTGCCACTAGCCAACAGTGGTGTATTAAATTATGGTAAAGACAATAGTTAACGTTTAGCCAAAATAGCACAAAATTATTTATTTGTTTTTAATGAAGTGAAGTGGATAATAACGTGAATATTATTGCCAATTTAAACGTATTCGTTTTTAGATTTTCGTCTGGTCCAACTGTTGCTGCTTAACACAGACCACCCATCCTACGAGACATGAAACCATTACGATTTTCTAATTAAATTAGTCTGTCAAGGTTAGAAGAAAGAAAGGTGTGCGGGTGGCGCGTGAGATGTAACTTAGAGATGTGTCACATCCATAAATCGTACGCGTAAATATGGCAGACTATGAAAACGTAACGTAATTATAAACAAATTAATGATGCGTAAAATACACCGTTTAATACAAGTAAAGTTCTTTAAAATATATACATGTATTTTAGATGTCATTTACAACGCTAATCGCTTACCATAAATCCGTTAAGAGCGGAATGTGCCTAAGAAATATACAAAGATAATACATATACTCGAAAACCATGACTTTATTTCGGCCTCGGCCGCGACGGTCATGTGAAAATATCTACATTAGGTAAAATTTACGTAATATAAAAATGTAAACAAAAATTACCTTTATTTTTTTATTAATTAGGGTTTGTAAAACTGTAATTTGGATTTCAAATTATAATTCCATATAGATTAATATACACAAATATAATAGTATGACTGTTCGTCTACACAAAAAATAATAACACAATAAATAGTCGATAAACTTGCATCGATACTTTTTTGGGCATTTCTACTTACACGTGCCGCCTGCAGCCCCTCTGATTGATAGACAGAGACGCAACTATAATAGTGCGTGCTTGACAAGGACAGCCTCAGAACTACGACCAGAACACGTTGAACCCTCACGGTTTTAGTATTTTAAGATTATTAAATGATGCATTTATCGATGAAACGTGACTTTATCCTTTTTGAAATTACGTTTCCTGCTATCACTATCACACCACTTTAATGCGCAAGTGGGCATGTTTTACTGTTTTAATTTTAAAAAATTGTAGTGCTAAGGACGCAGTGCACAGGTCTGTTGTCTGGTCACTACTAAACAGGGTAGCGTTCGTGTTCAACTGTATAGGCTCTGGTTGAGCAGATGAAGTACAGAAATTTGTCGCCTTTCTTTACATGTCTCGTAGGCTAGGTGGTCTGTGCTGCTCAATGAATTGAAAAAATTTGACTTAATCGCAAAGAAAACTAACTAATTTACGTTTCTAATGTAGTTTACTCCATTTTTACTACTGCCGAAAATAATCTGCGAAATCATATTAAGCATAATGCACAGGAAAACAATTCAGAGAAAGAGCTATCTCTCGAAGTTACTGCCAAACTCGTTGGTTGTTCTCTATTTCCTATTGTAGAAGAGCACATCAATTCGTAACATCACGACACAAATATGGCGCGGCTTATTGTTGAACGTTATGTAAGAGTTCGATTCTTATATGAAACCAAAAAATATATTATTTCGCGGATAGCGTCATCAAAGCGGCAGTTACTTAGAAAATAGTTGCAGATGCAGGGTTATTACTTATTAAGTAAGAGAAGTTTGGTTTAAGTACTTGGGTATATGGCTATTTAATAAATATTTTTAGTTTCGTGTTTTATTTGAATAGTTTTTCTCCTTACGAATCTTATTTTGTTTTAATACAAAACGCATATTCAAAAAAGTATATCATATATTTATATAAATATATAACACTATATACTTATATAAATATATCTTTTCTAATAGAATAATATAATGACATAACAGATTTGTGAATATTATTATAGCATGTGATATTACGTATATAAATAATTTTAATAAAATATTAGTTAACAAATATAAGTAATTTTATATTTCTCTCTTTGTAATTTCATCATCATCATCATCATTACAGCCCTTCACAAGTCCACTGCTGAACATAGGCCTCCCCCAAGTAACGCCACAAAGCACGGTCCTGAGCCACCTGCATCCATCGACTTCCTGCATGTCTTACCAGGTCGTCACTCCATCTAGTGGGGGGTCGCCCTACACTACGCCTACCGGTACGAGGCTGCCACTCGAGAACCTTTCTTCCCCATGGGTTATCGGTTCTTCGAGCTATATGGCCGGCCCATTGCCACTTCAGCTTACTAATCCGTTGGGCTATGTCGGTCACTCTGGTTTTACTGCGGATATCCTCATTTCTGAGTCTATCACGCAGAGAAACTCCGAGCATAGCCCTCTCCATAGCTCGCTGAGCGACCTTGAGCGTCCTCATACGGCCAGCGGTGAAGGACCACGTCTCTGATCCGTAAGTCATCACTGGCAACACGCACTGGTTGTACACTTTAGTTTTCAGAGAGGTATACCTGACGTGAAGATGTGTCGTAATTTCCCGAACGCTGCCCTGCCGAGTTGAATCCGTCGATTGACCTCTCGGTCGAAGTTGGACTTACCTAGTCGGACTATTTGTCCCAGGTAAACGTACTCGTCAACAACTTCGAGCATAGTGCTCCCAACAACTACCGGCATAGGTGTGACATGGACATTAAACATGATTTTTGTTTTATCCATGTTTATCTTAAGACCTATCCGTTAGGAGACACTATTGAGGTCATTGAGCATAGTGCCAAGGTCCTCCAGCGATTCTGCCATAAGGACTATATCGTCGGCAAATCGAAGGTGAGTGATGTACTCGCCATTGATGTT